CAGCGGCGGCAGCGCGGCGGAGTTCCGGTCCGTCTCGAAGGGCTTTAGTGACACCAGCTCGGAGATGTGCGTTCTTTTGTCGCCGGAGCTCTTGTTGAAGATTCGGCAGATCACCCATTCATTCTGAAAACAGAAATTTTCGATTCAATATATATGAAAATATATCCCAAAAAAAAAACCATTTTATTTTAGGCTTATAGTTTCTAGCTGATTCATGATTTCATAAATCAAATTACCTTGCGACAATTTTCTTTCAATTAAAAAATCATGTGATCGGGACAAAATAGCCCATGGTTTAAAAATTAGCTAGCCGCATATACCCAATTGGGAAAACCAAACAAAGAACGAAATTTTGAATTGTAATCAAAAGGGTAATTTTGTATTACCTTAGTGGGTTTGATAAGATGATGAGAAACCGAATGTTTGCCTTCCAAACGGTACTCATGCATCACCCAATTGGATTTCTCCCCTTTTGGGGCTCTTCCTTTGTAAAAGACCAAAGTTTTCTTCATACCCACAACTCTCTTCCCTCTAAAGATCTCCTTATCTTTGCCGGTGGCCTTCCAGTAGCCAGATTCGGTGGCCCTGTTGGTCCTCAGCCCCGTCGGATACTTCCTGTCCTTCACGCAGAAAAAATACCATTCCTTCTCCCCCATTTTCGCCCTCCCTATAACAACAAAATTAAATTAAACCAAATCTGGCGTGTCCGAGACGCGATTCTTCGATTAAATCTAGCAACTGAGTTGGACTTACCGGGTAAATCCCAGGGCTCGGATTTGTTCAAATCCGCCTCTCCGATGGCTATGGCCGTGAAGGCGCTGTTGACGACCTTGGGGGAGAGGTAGTGGGTTATGAGCTCCTCGTCGGTGGGGTGGAATCGGAACCCCGGCGGCAGCTCTATGTGGTCCTCCTCCGGCTGATCCATGATCGGAAACTTGCTGTTTGCCATGATTTTGGCTATAGTTTCTAGAGAATTGGAGATCGGGGGAGGATTTGGGAAAAGAGAGGTAGAAGAAAAACCATAGCCTCAGACCCAGAGGAGGCCTAATATAGAGAGAGAGAGAGAATGGTGTTTGGGTAAGAAACGTGCTGCCTAAGACAACTATGCTGGATTTTTTCAATTTCTCTCTCTTTTTCTTCCTTTTTTAATTCTATATTCTCATAATTCTCATCATCGCCACCGTCACCCTCACCCTCACCCTCACCCAGACCACATGGATTACATTACTATAATTTATATCTAAAATTTCCCGCGGAGAGGGTCAAGAGAGATGGATTTAGACCATATGAAAGCGAAACAGATTTCCACGCTCAAATCAGTAAAATTCGAGTGCTGTGATCCCAATTAAATTTGCATATAAAGACTCTTTTTGTACTTATTGATGTAAAAGACCTTCATTGTTTCTACTCCAACAATAAATAGGAAATAATTGAGAAATTTAATGAAAGCGAGAAAATAGATAAACACAAAATTAATATGGAAAACTCTAAATTGAAGAAAAAACCACGATCCCACAAGAAAAAATAATTATTACAATCACAAAATTTCTCTCCCCGAACCTAATTACACAAAACACTCTCTCAAAACAAATATGACTCAATTAACTAAAACTGAACAAAATTCAAAACCATTAATTCTTCTTAGAGCAGTACTTGAAGAACTTAAGCAAACTCTCTTTTTGTACTATGTAGGAGAATTCACTCTTCTAATATTTTGTCAGAACCCACCTAGCGGTTATCAAAGATTACTACAATAATTTAGACTCGAATTTTTCGATAGTGGGAGCGGTTGCGAACAGTTTACTACTTCACACTTGAGCTCAACATTGGTTTAGGTCGAGGTTTGGGTGAGATTTCGAAGAATTGTTCCTCTGACCAAAGATCTAACGTATAATCCTTGGACGCTTAATAACTTCTCTTTGTTCTGCCACATGAAAGGTTGCTTTATACAGCGGAATCTAGAGTTTAAAAAAAAACAAAAATTAAAGTATCTGTGAGATTCATAGGCCGGAAAATTCCACGGAGCTAAGCTGGAGATTGTATGCATGCTTCGCAGCATTGCACGGGGGATTACAGCGATGTTTTTTTTTTTTAATTTGTTTTTCGTCTTCATTAAAATGGACTTTTCAATAATATAAACAGTCTACCAAAAGAAAACTCTTTTATAATTTGTCTTCCTCCACTGTTGAAAAATCCCTAAAATAGAATAATGTTTCCATTCTTGACATCTCGTTACAGTTTGAAGAAGTTTGTGGAAATTAGATTGTAAAATACGTTTTTTTTCCCTTCTTTTCTTTTTAGAAAAGTTTTTAAAATTAAATGGGCAATAATTATTGGGTAGGTAAAATATTAAGAGGTGCTTATATTGAGGATATTTATTTAGCATATTAAGTAACCTAAAATGTTGGCTCATAGACTTCTCATTAGACTAGTGTGCTTGCTAAGTTACTAGCTAGATCATTAATTCTATGGGAATATAGTGGGAATCCTAAAATGAAAGTTAATATAGCGAATTTTGGCCAACAGTAAATAACAATTTGCTATTTTCTTAAATTTGAGTATTGATCTTCTCGAATTTTAGATTTATTATGTTGAGAAAAAAACTAACCCCAAATTTTAATGGTTTGAGATTATCCATTCAAAATCTTAATTTTCTAATCATGCATAGATCTTAATGTGAATACCCCAATTTGTGAGTGCTGTTTTATGAATATTTGAGGTCAAAGGATTAAGAATTGATTTAATAAACATAAAATTGTGTTTAAAAGTGAAGTAGTTAAGCTATATATATGATTAAATACTGTATATAATTTTGTGGAAAAGTACATATAAATAATTATTCTAATGATTTTGATTAGTAGGTGAAGAGGCAGAGTTTAAGGCAATCAAAGTCATGGTGTTAGTTGTTATTTAATTTATTAAAATAAAGTCATACGCGGTTTAAATTCATATTCAATGACTTTGTGTAGAAGTTGACTTCTTTTTATATATTATTCTTTTTCTTTTTCTTTTTCCCCATTTATTATTTGGTCTTTTTTTATTTTAATTATACGGATATATTTAGTTCTATTATTACAAAATAATAATATCTCTTTTTTTTTTACATAAAAATTAGGGGAAATGTAGGGTTGTCTCAAAAAATCATTTTCCACGTATATATATTTTTAAAATTATTCTAAAATATAAGTCATTCATCATGAAAATACGGAAAAGATAGTTTTCATAAAATAATTATTTATACATATTTTCACATATATTTTACTTTTTTTATTAAAAAAATGAAAATCAATAACATATGAAAGTTATATATGTATATGTATTTTGGCAGCTTGCATGTGCTGATACTTGGGCATCATGTTTGGTCACATGCACAATGATATTGTCATCAATGATTGAGTAAGAATTTCTATTAGTTAGAAAAATGCAATATCAATTCATGGATTGATTTGATTGGATGAAGTTGATTGTGGTTCTTTTTCCTTTTACTTTTATTTCAATTTTCTTATTTGGTAATTTCCAAGCCTTTTTTTTTTGTGGTGTGGGTTTTATATTTTCTACATCTTCATCTATAAATTTCAATAAACTTTTATTTACTTTTTAGTGGATACAAATATTTATTTTGATCTTCATTTCTAAATCTTTTTTTATTGTATTTAAATAAAATTCTACCCACTATTTTCTTATTTAATATCAAACTTGAAACATGTGACTTATAAATACTTACCATGTGCATTATATATATAAATACTAAAATAAAATAAGCATGAAATTTCACTGATTATATCCCTATTTAATCAGGTATAAATTGGTTATTTACAGTGTATAAATTTAAGAGAACTATATATGCTTCTAGAATTTTATATTTAAGAATTTTGGAAAAATAATCGTATTAACTTTATTTTTATTTCCTCTCATGTTGGAAAATAGAAGAAATTTTAATGAGTGAACATAAATTATTTATAAATTATGGCACCGATCCGTAAAAGTATTTAAACTTTATTAGACAAATGAAAACGATTAACTTATTAATATTATTGATTACAAATTAAATATAGTTTCAAATATATATATATATATATATATATATATATANACCTTCATATATATATTGGTTATGAACTTTTGGAAGCTTGATTTTTTATTCTTTATATTATCTATTATCTATTTTGGTAATTCCCACTAATTACATTGCTAAACAACAATTTTTAAAATTAAAATTTAATTTTCCAAATCTATTATCAAACATATATTTGAAAATACTAAAAACATAAATTATAACACTCTTTTTTCATTGAATATGTTGTTTTAAGATTTTTTCCACATCACCAATCAAATGGAAACCATAAAAATATATTTAAGCCTAATAAATTACAACTTTGTAGGAAATAATAATAATAAATTTAAGCAATAAAAGTTCAAAATAAATACTTTTCAACTTATCTCAAAAAAATGTTAAAGGATAAATAGATCACCGTTCAACTCAAAAGCTTAAACTTGAATTGAGTAAATTTAATTCAGGAGAAAATGAGTGATGATCGTATGTTCATTTTCTAATGAGCAAAATCATGTATACTAAAACTAAATTAAGAAATATTCTTTTTGATTTGTTATGTACTAGAAAATGATATTATAATCTCAATAATGATATTTTTCTTCCTTTTATATAACAATCCACAAATAATAGTCCACTGGATAGGCTCCCATACCGGAATACACATCTGAGAGGAAGTGTGAAATATATATTAAAAATATTAAATTTATTTTAATCAATCAATTAAAATATTTTTTTAGTACAATAATATTTGGGATGAAAATTCGAACCATTTTTAATCATGGATAAATATCTTCATTAACCAAGTAATTGTTGAGATTGACCCATAAATTTAAATGTTCCTCGTCATTTTCTTGTTATTTTAATTGTAAAACTTTAACTATATTATATACTTCATTCATCTGATTTTCTTGTAAGGATTTAGTAAAAAGTAGAGGGTTGGATACAAAAGCAAGCAATTCATAAATAAAGTCATTATTAAAAACAATGTCAAACCTTGTAAACTCACCAAAAAGATTCTAAATTAAAAAACTAAAATTATGTAAAAAAAAAACTAAAACTAAAACGCGGTTTGATAACTATTTTATTTTTTGATTTTCTATTTTTGAAAATTAAGTTTTTAAATATTACTTTAGTCTATATTTTGCTATTTACTTTTTAAAAATATTTTTAGAATCTATGCTAAAATTTTGAAAATTATAAGAAAATTATTTTCAAAAAACTTGTATTTGGTTTTTAAATTTAACTAAAAACTCAAATATGTTTTTAAAAAATATAAAAATATGCTAGAAAAGTTAAAAATATAATGATTATCAAACCGCTATAAGGATGAGCTAGAGAATAATTATTTTATTATTATTATTAAATTTTTTTGACAAAAAGCTAGAGAAGAAATTGATATCTCTACCAATTTATGAATAATAACAAAAACACAACCTATGAATTTCATGACGTACAGTTTTGTTTAATTGACGCAAGAGTTTAACAGCCACATGGATTAGAAACATGAATTGAAATCATGTTTTAAAGCATTATTTTAATTGTAAATAAGACAAAAAGTCATAACTAATTTTTTTTTTATAATGCAATCAATAATGGTCATTAGATTTAAATTCTTTTAAAATATAAATTAAAATAAACTCACCACATCCAATATATGTTATGTTTCACTCCTTGCAAAGACATCTAATAAATTTTAATTAATTTATGGTTAATTTATTTATAAATATTAAGAAAAACAACGTAACTTTATTCATGAAATTATTTTCAAATAGATAATTATTTTATCTTTCTTACTTACTATTATTAAACCACCAATTTATTACATTTTGACTCTCTTTTTATATATTTGAGTTGTCAATTTTTTTTAATGATAGGTGGTAAGTATCTAAATTTTATTATTTTTAAATGGTTTTAGGCAATCTTCATGATCAGACGGTTGAAAAAGACTCATCAGGTCGTCATCAGATCTACAGCGTAAGATTGTCCAACAAAAATAAAAATAAAAATACCACGCTCCCGCTGCCGTGCCGCCATGGCCAGATAGAAAAACCGACTCAGCAATCCACTTGGCGAATTCTAATTGGCCCGTTTGCAAAATAGTAAACCAATTTTGCGCTGACGCATTACCAAAGTGGGCCCTGCTTCCTTGTACCCGACAAGATCCTCCAAGAGGTGACATTGACGTGGCACGATGTCATTGGCTCAAAAAAGTATTATAGTCCAAAACTTGTAGAGGATTTGATCAAAAGTTAGGCTTTTTTTTTTCTTTTTTGAAAAAATCAAAAGTTAGGTTACGCAATTAGATTAGATTATTAATAGAATTATATAAAAGGTTATCTGGGGACTTGGGAAATTAGGTAAATCAAAACGGCGTTGAAGATAAGCACAAAGCTTACTTTTTTATACTATTAAAATATTTAAAGACATTATTAAATTAAAATGAATTAATCCTCGTGTCCAATTTTCAGACAACCTGCAGCGTGCGTTCACATTGGCCAAAAAGATAAATCCCAAGTCAATTTGATTACGTAAATTAATTTGTTAAAACAAAAAATCAGATTTTAATAGATTATTATAAAGTTTTCTCATAAATAACAAACAGTGTTTTAAATTTGTTATTATAGAATCCAGATTCAAAAAGTGAATTAGATTATTAAATATTGCTTCCTTCATTTACCAATTATATGTAACTTTGAGTGTAGCCCTGTAGGTATTTTACTAAAGTATATACTTAAAGAAACACACACACAATTCAAATCTTATATATATATAGTGTTTTATGCAGATTTTAGCTAATCCTGAAGATTTTTGTTATAATATTGCATATTTTTACCCAATCAAAATAACTAAAATACAGTTTATGTTGGCTTTGGCGGTTGATTAATTTATCTTGTCACTAGATTATGTTGGACTTTTTGAAACCAAAATCACTAAAAGTTTCAATCAAACGCTCTCAGACACCAAATCTTAATTATTAAAAAGAAAAAAAAAAGGTGGAATAAAGAAGGTTCAATCAAAAATTTCAAACCCCACCACTCAATCTTGTCACGGTCTTCTTAGAAGTAGACAAAAACTAAAACCATTAAACATTACCTTAATGTATCCGATAATAAGACAAAAACAAATTAAAGTAATAAGCTGGTAAAACTTTATATTATACAAAAGTGGAAAGGAAAAGTAAAGAGTGTGTTGGAATTAAATATAATGTAATTCGCTATGATATTAAAGTCAATGAACACAATTGCACATGAGATAATGTTAAAAAAGGCGTATGATTTTGGTCCAAGTGTATCGCTTAGTCACTGCCAAGTTGGTAAATTGCACGTTGGCATTAATTTATTTCATATGGATGCATGTAAATTTACAAGCCAACTATATTGTAGGCTGAGATTATGCTTGCATTATTTTATTTATTTCAGTTAAAGCAAATGTTTTTTTTACGTTGGAAGTTCAAATCTTTTCTACCCTATATTTGACTTCTAATATTTTTTTAAAAATCTAGATAATATCGTTTTCTTAATATTGTCAACGTAAACTTAGTTCAATCATTAAGATATTTTACTTCTTCATTATATCGGTTGTACTGTAAATATATATATATATATATTTAATGTTTTTGTTTCTTAAAATTAAACTAGGTTTGTTTAACCATTATGAGTGTTTAATTTTTTTATGTTTTTTTTTTACTAAACTTAGAATAACTTTTTGAAAACTGTTTTGAAAAAATCAAATCTGGGGTTGAATTATCGTTAAACTAAAAGGTTTGCTTAATATGTTAAGCTAATTTAATCTTTTAATATATTATAAATTTTAACAAAATAGATGATGTTATTTGATCTGAGAAGAAAGTAATATTGCAAGAGCTTAGAAATAAATTATTACTCCTTCTAAAATAATAATAATAAATAAATCAATTATTACTACCTTAAAAATTTGAAGTTAATAGGTAAATATGAATTTAATCTAATTGACATAATTTTAACTTTTGGTCTGTTTCGAAAACAAATGAAATGTCATACGAACATAGTATTTTAAAATTATTAATATAAAAACATAATTGTCATCGAACAAGTCTATAAGATAAATTTACTTTTAAGTTGTACCATAAGAATCTTTTGTAGTATCAAAAGAGTTTGGCAAAATTAATCTTATTAAAATAATAATAAATTCAACCACAAAATTAAAGAAATTATATGGATTTAAAATATAATAGACATCAGATATATTAATAGTGAACAAATCTTGTTTTAAAAATGATTTTATTTCATTTTATATTTTCATTAAGGATAAAGGAATCATTTGATATATATATTGAACATCATCTTTTTGTAAAACAACCCCTTGAATTTAATAAAATTACACATATACATATTGCATATACATAAATATTACATCAGCAAGAAGAATATGTGTTTCAAAAAAAAAAAATAAGAATGCCTTCGTAGGCTCATGGAATATTCTCTATGTGATATGGTAACTTTTTTTTTTTCTTGAAACGCGGCATAGTTTGTGACTATTTCTTCATTACTTTAATTAACAATTGTCTTAAGATATAATTAATTATTCATTGTAAATGTTGAAATACATTGTATTATGTTCAAGGTTTCATATTGATGTTGGGACATCAAAATCAATAGGGAAAACACGTTAAATAATATTTTCATATTACTTGTATTTTATAGTTATTGGGACATTTTATTAAATTATTAATTTAGTTCTGGTTTAGTCTTCCTTTTCAAATAACTATCCTAAATTTAAAATTTTCAAGACTTGGATTAGTTTCAATTTAGTCTCTGACTCAATATGATACCTATAATTTAGTTAATACTCTTTGAACATCCTTAAATTATTATTTTTTTTCATATTAAAAAATGTAGCCATATTTTTCTAATACTAATAAACTAGCACAATTAATCAAATAACGGTTCATCGCCCAATAGTACCACATATTTCTATAGGACCTTTAATTTATCAATTATATTAAGCATTTTTTTAATAATAAACAAAATATTCGTGGAGGTCGTATAATAAATAAAATCTAGAAATGAGAAGTTTAGAGATGGTTAGATATATGTATCTGTCTAGGCATAAGAGATGAGAGTTTATTATGAGGAAAAAATTATATTAAAAAAAAGGATAGTTCTAGAAGCATTTTTGAAAAATAGTTTTTGTTTAATAAAAAACTGTCTCTTTCAATGAGATAATTATTTAAAATTTTCATGAAATCTTCTCTTAATTTGGACAACTAAATTCTGAACTCCTTTATGAAATTCTATCAGGAATATGAACAATAATTTGATTTTGATGCATCTAAATTTCTACTAAATTAAAGAGTGTTTTTCGATAACATATTTAGAAATAAGGTACTTGCAAATATATTTTTAAAATATGGTATTCCTCTACCAAATTGTAGTTGGTCAACTAATAAGTTTAATTTGTCTTTTAGTAAAATCATATGTCAAAAACATGAGGTTTGGAAAATGGTTCCATTAATTACTTCTTTTTGTGTCTAAAATAGATGATTTTCCTAAAAGACAAAAAAAAGAGAACCAATAGTTATAGAAAAAATAATGATAATAAAAACAGTAATTATAATTAGGTTCTAAAATGTAATTTTATTGGAAACTGCATATAGTTAGATTGGAATTGTTCATATAAGAGATGATCTTGATACACTATTTGTTTTCCTTTAGTTTGGTTTTGTTAAAATTTAAAAAAAAAAAATGCTTCCAAATATATTTTGTTAACTATCTTATATTTTCATTTTTAGATAGACAAGAACATTAAATTTTTTTTTAATAAAATGATTTTGCTTAATATTTAATATTTAATTTAGTGCAAGTAAACATATCAAATCAATCGAGGTGGATAACGTAGACCATAGAATGTCTCATAATCTCATGTATATATTTTTTGGTTTGATAAATTTTTACCAATCTTAACTTACGTTGTATAGAAGAATCCATGGAATATTTTTAAAACTTTTGATAAGCCGAAGCCCTCTGAATCTTTGTGAGTTAGCAAGGCACGATATCTTGACAATGGAAACTTGACGAATTAATGTACGTTTATTTAGTTATATAATTAAATTGAATTGTTTTTATGCATAAAATAAATAAATATATGAGAAATTGGTGGGTTGGGCTTTTTCTTCTTGGCCCAAGAAGAGAGTGAAACAAGAAATCGAAGAAGTTTAATATTTCCATTTTTTTACGTTTTGATTCAAATATATGTCTTTAAGCAGTTGACATATACTCAAAATAACTTGATATTTATCTTAATTAAATAAATATATTATTAAAATTCGTCAATTAATTAAATATATTATAAGAGATTTACCTGTTCTGCGCTATAACTTTGTGTTTGTGTTTTTTTTTTTAATACAAATATTTGGGTGTTTTTTTTACTACTTTAGGTCTCCTATTTAATTCTCAATTAGTACTTCTTAGTGTTTTTTTTTTTAATTGTTACTTCTTGGTGAATATTAAAATTTACTAATATTCAGTGAATGATAAGCATCTAATGAGAAATTAGGTCATTTGAAAAAAAAAAAAAATCTGAGATTCTCCTCATAAATTTTTATCTAACTCATTAAGAACATAAATTTATCAACAGTCAGTTTAAAATTCACACACAGAAAATACATAATTTAAAATTGTTAAAATGTAAAATTTTTTGAAGTTATGGTGACATGATAATTGATACATGATAAATCTAGGTTTGTATGTATAAATTGTAGTCTGTAGAGAAATAGAAAGCAAAATTAAATGATCAATATTTCCCCGTCGTCCCAACGGAGCCTCGTTTGATGATCCGAAAGAGAACAAATGACAGTGGCGCCAACCGCTTCCAAAGGTCTAGTTTATGGCAGAAATGTACCAGCTTTCGTGCTTTGAAGCAAGTCCATGCTTTTCTGGTCGTCAATGGCTTTAATTCAAGCACATCTGCCCTCAGAGAACTCATTTTCGTCGGTGCCATAGCTATTTCTGGGACAATGGACTATGCCCATCAAGTGTTCGCTCAAATTACTGAACCGGACATCTTCATGTGGAACACCATGATCAGAGGCTCGGCTCAGAGCTTGAAGCCTGTAAATGCTGTTTCTGTTTATGCCCAGATGGAAAATCGTGGGGTTAGGCCGGATAAGTTTACCTTCTCGTTTGTTCTCAAGGCCTGTACTAAGCTTTCTTGGGTGAATTTGGGATTTGGGATTCATGGGAAGGTTGTGAAGTTTGGGTTTCAATCTAATTCATTTGTGAGGAATACTCTTATTTATTTCCATGCTAATTGTGGCGATTTGGCCACTGCAAGAGCACTTTTCGATGCTTCTGCCAAAAGGGATGTTGTGCCTTGGTCAGCTTTGACGGCAGGCTATGCAAGAAGAGGGGAATTGGATGTTGCACGAATGCTGTTTGATGAAATGCCCGTGAAAGACTTGGTCTCGTGGAATGTGATGATTACAGCATATGCGAAACTCGGAGAGATGGAGAAGGCAAGGAAACTGTTTGATGATGCTCCGCAGAAAGATGTTGTGACTTGGAATGCAATGATTGCAGGATATGTGCTTGCTGGATTGAACAAGCAGGCTTTGGAGATGTTTGATGCAATGATAGATCAGGGACAAAGACCGGATGATGTGACAATGTTGAGTATCTTGTCTGCTTCTGCTGATTTGGGAGATTTGGAAGTTGGAAAGAACATACACCGTTCCATTTTCAACATGTGCTGCGGAGATTTAGGTGTGCTTCTAGGTAATGCACTTATAGACATGTATGCCAAGTGTGGGAGTATTGAGAATGCTCTGGAAGTTTTTAAAGGGATGAGAGACAAAGATACCTCCTCATGGAATTCAATAATAGGAGGATTGGCGTTTCATGGACATGCTGAGAAATCGATAAATCTGTTTCAAGAAATGCTGAGGTTGAAAATGAGGCCAAATGAAATCACTTTTGTTGGCGTGTTGGTTGCTTGTAGTCATGCTGGGAAAGTGCAAGAAGGGCGTATGTATTTTAATCTTATGAGAAACTTGTATAAAATTGAGCCCAACATCAAGCATTACGGATGTATGGTAGACATCTTGGGGCGTGCCGGGCAATTGATTGAAGCATTTGATTTCATAGATACAATGGAGATCAAACCTAATGCCATCATCTGGAGAACACTACTTGGGGCCTGTAGAGTTCATGGAGATGTTGAGTTGGGAAGGCGTGCAAATGAGCAATTACTCGAAATGAGGAAGGATGAGAGCGGGGATTATGTACTCCTATCTAACATATATGCTTCACAAGGTGAGTGGGGTGGTGTCGAGAAAGTGCGAAAGTTGATGGACGAAGGTGGGGTGAAGAAAGAAGCCGGTTGTAGCCTGATCGATGCTGATAACAGCTTTCTAATGAATTTTTTGTTTGATTCAAAGCCAAAGTTTGTAGAAGGCGGCAGTTAATCTTGTATTACGTTAATTTTAGTGCAACAACCACACTGCTGCCTCAAAGTTTTAAAGTGTCTTAGGATCTTTTCCTCTTTGGATATGGCCATAGAAACGAGCTCATGGATCCAGCTGCGGTCAAAGGCTTTGGTACGAACCATGGCTATAGGCTTTCTAAACTGTGTCTGAATCTGGTCATCAAGATCGTATGGAAAGGTCTTCAACTTCTGGTTGTGGAGCACTGGAGCATGAAGCTAAAGCTTTCATGTTTGAAGATTTGTGTGCTCTTTGTGTTGCTATGTTTACATGGAATCCCCAAAATGGGGGTTAGAATGGTTGTTCTTACCCTGATGAAGTACCTTATTTAGAATTGCAGGTTCCATTTACCTGTAAGAAGTGGTCCTGGCTTCTTTTGTTAAGCCTTAATAAATCACAGGAGCTGTTCTCATCAGCTTCATTTTCATGTCTGCTAGATTCTTTTGGACTTATAGATAAAAATTCTGAATGGAAATAGGACTCTGAAATATCTATGGAGCAGACTTTCCAACGTTCTCTACATGTATTTCCTTCTCTTTTATTCTTGCAGTAATTTTTACTCTTAAATAGGAAATAGTTTTACGTGTGTTGAAAGTCTATCTGCATTCTTGGGCTGGATTAGAGATATAATAGTTTCCATACGGTTTTCGTTACAAACTGAAGTTCAACTGGACATCGACTTGGTAGAAATTACAATGCATAACACACACTGAGAAATTGGACATCTAGTCATATTTTAACACACTCAGATTCATATATCAATTGCAGATAAAAACACACAGATGTAGTTTTTGCATGCTTGCAGGTTGCTGTGATGGTAATCTACTTTCAATGACGACGAGACAGTGCTGCACCCAAAAGGAAGATCATAACCATGAATAGAACAATTCCTGCAAAAGATCCGATCAAAGAGCCTGAGATCCGCTCGCAGAAGGAGTTAAATTGCTGGCAGATAGATAACCAATTGGTCCTGGAATTTCCTTTGTGTGCTAAGTACACAATGGCTGCTGCTGCAGAAGCCCCTGCTGTCAAAAGAGCCATCATTCCCTGTTCACAATCATATGAAGCACATGAGTAAGCGAACTTGGTCGGGTTTCTTTCCTTCTTTCTTTCTCTTAATTACTGCCAAATATTACTTGTATAGATCAAAAAGATGAAGGAAGTACCGCGCCCAAGAAGACCAGCAAAACTCTAGTGCCATGTGCTCTGCTCCTCACGATGTGGAATATAGAAAGAGGAAGAGAAAGAACCAAGTAGCCAGTTACAATGGCGTTGGCCACAACAAAGAAGCTGCTCAAGCACCCAAAAGAGGTTAGTAAACTCATGAGGAGTTCAGTTTTTGAAATATAAAGTGCTGGTTATGACATACGTAAACATTGGGAGATCATTATACTCGGCTCTGAACCGAATGAACTGTGTGGAAAATGGAAGCGTCTGGTTTGTGGTTCCCATAGCTATTGCATTTCCTAATGTTCCAACAATGGCAGCCAACCGGAGGATGAAGTCGAGAATCGACAAACCTCGATTCATCCCTGGTTTCGATTTGGAACTCTTTAGCTCACCCGACTCGCCCACTGCTGCCTTCATCTTTCTTGGAAGGTTTATGTTTTGGCTAACAAGTTTTCAGATGTGGTTTCTTTAGGACAGTAAATTTTCATGGCTGAGCAGTGTGCACCAAGGAACTATTAATATGGAAAACAGAGGCTGGGCAATGTTGTTTTGGTGAGATTTAGTGGCTGAAAAGCCCCACAAGATAGCATAACAACTCCCCTCCAAAAACAGGGGAAACTTCATGAATAATGTACCTTCAAATTAAAAATTTTCTAAAAGTTTGATACTTTTGAAAATAAGTTTGAAAAGATTGTAGTCTAAGTTCTAAAATATATATATATATATATATATACACACACACTCTAAAAGAAGGGTGTTTTTTTGAAACCATTGACAAATATATGACATGTTTTGTCGGGTATAAAATCGTGGGTGCGAAATGCGATTTTCATGCTTACATGAACCGTCACGAAACCAACGCATGTATAAAAGCATATTTCCGGTACATGTTTACTTAAATAAATCGCATGTGTAAAATATGATTTATGCCCGATTTTGTTGTAATCGTAACATAAAGAGCAATTTCACATTAATGCATATTTGATTCCCAATTTATGTAAATCATGTTTCATATCTACAATTTACCTACTCTATTTGTTCCATCATTTTTTAAACCATCCTATTGGAATTTTTTAAAAAAAATGTAAGTAATCAAACATGTTAGGACAGATAGAAACAAATAGAATCCTGTTTTGTTTGTGCAGAATGGTGTATAAAAAGTTCAAATTTTATGATATAGCCACTTAAGGCAGAGTTCAAGGCTACCAAATCCCCTGCCACAACCAAAATGGGAAAGAATTTGGAGTGATGTCCTTTGGAGAAGATTTGGTTGGTTAGAAGTTGGTGTGAAGAAACCCAAAATATGAAAGAAAATTGAGGGAAGTTGAGTTGGGTTCAGTATGTAATTTGGCTACAATATCTAAACCATTCCACTTATTCTCCTTTTTGCTAATTCTTTTATTTTCCCTCTAAAACCATAGAATGAAAATTTGGTCCTCCTTTTTGTACTAGTTTTATCTAATCGAAAGAAAAAAGGGATGATAAAAAAACGTTACATCAGATTCATTAATAATAATACTACAGTTTTCAAATAACTATTGATTTTGTTGCTACATTTGTGTAAATTTCTAATTTGGAGATTGATAGTAAAAATAATAATAATAATAATAATAATAATAGTTGAGCTGTAGTAAGAGAATAAGAGTTATACAAACTCGTTTTTTAAGTCCTTTAAAATCACATTTTGAAATTTGGCAAAGGGAATAAAAGAAAATCAACTCTTGAAAACATTTATTCAAGCTTAAGACAAATTGATCTCTGAATGTATTTGCGAACAAGAAAGAAGGATTCGAGTTATCAGTGTGTTCACACTAATGATTCCTTACTGGACTAAAGTCAACAACGATAGTCCTAATTTTGGGAATCTACTTTGATTCCTAAATTCATGGGTCCCACAATCTTTGTATTATTATTATTTTCTTATTTTCTTATTTTTACTTTTGCAATTAATCTCATTATTGGCAAACTGGAATGAAAAAGTAGATTTTTTAGAAATGTTCGAATATGAAACCCATAAACTAGGGGTGATATTTTAACATATTTTTTTTTTAGCCAAAATGGTCAACCGGAGTTAGAAACTTAGTCCAACAAGGGTAACGTGATATTTAGAAACATTAAATTGAGAATTTTATGTTATTTTGCATAAATTTGATACTACAGAAAGAGTTGGCCGTACATGTTAATTGCTTATTTTCGATAAAAAATGTAAAAAATGTTATTATTTCAGAAAGGCATCTCATCTCTACGATAATATTAATATCACCTTCAACAATGAAATGTCGCCAATTTTACAGGTCATATCTAAATAAAATCAAATAATAGAATAATAAATTGGAAAATAAGCTAGAGAACCCCATCAGTCACATCCTATAATACATCAAATAAAACTAGTTAGTTTGAAAATAATAATAATAAGAGTGCTTAGCTTAATCAATACCCACAGCACTTTAAGAAGCCTAAGTGGGATGAGCTTACAATTTCAGTTTGAAAACCACATATGTTAATCGGAGCTGCCCAAACATTTCACTACATGCATTGAAATTATAACACATTTTGTATCCATTATAATAATAAAGAGTTACATAAGCAAATAAATTACAAACACTCCCATTGAGCTTGGAATTTCAATACAATGTAATCTAACAATTCTCTACCCACATCCATTTTATAAGACAATTATACCACCAGCTCCAAATTGCTTGTGGATCAGGCCAATGAGTCCCCAAAATGAAGCAACCAATTCATTTGAAGAGGAATCCTCATAGAATGGCCACTGCCCTGCAACACACCTAAAGTATCTCTTTCGTTTGGAAGAGAAGCCACGTCACTCATTTTAAACATTCAATAAAAAGCATTAAAATTGTCTGTTCCGATCTCTGAATGGGAAAAAAGGGTGGATCTACTGGATCCCAAATTAACTGGCTTATGGCAACTGCCTCTGTCAAAAGGAGCATAGCTCACAGAAACTCAGTCATACACGTTCGAAAATGTTCACCCAACCTTTATGTCATTGTCCTAAGGGCCATAATATAACAGCTAATACCTGACAGCTAATACCTGGTCACAGTTCCAGCATCAACAAGTATCCGTGTAGGCCCCGGGGGTATCATAACAGAAGGTTAAATAGTTAAATCATAGACCATCTAAGGTTGGAAAAAGTATGTTATATACTCTAATAGAAAGAAGGTGAGAGGAAGGGCAATTTTTTTGCTATATCTACAGCATCAGTGACCCGGCAAGTATGTCATTGGCTTGTTGACCCCACAGCCATGCTAATAGCAGATAAAAATCCTTAGAAGAGAAAATGCTGTATATCCAATCTAAAAGTAGAGGATAAGAAAAAACTGCATGGCATCCTAGACGAGGTCAAAAATTATACTTCAAGCAATAAACAAACCAATGCATTTTCAAATTACAACCGACCTTACCTTGCTTGTATGTGAATAGACACTGGCTATCATCATAATATTGCCTCCACTTTACGCATAAACTAAACCAGCATGCATATTTTTGCACATATTATTTCCAATTTCACCGTGTTCAATAGATATGGCTTGAAGAGTTGAGAAAACGAGCAACTGGCCCCTTTTGCTTTCTTACTGCTCATACCATAACTTAGATAACACTATTGAGACTTGACAATAACCATTTCTTAAGAAATTGGAAATTCAAAAGTAGGGGTGTTATATCACCATAAAGATGAATGACTATTTGGTGAAAGATAGCAGAGTATGATACTTCAATCCCTGCACAATTTAGACGATGATGTAGAAATAGGCAGCACTCGGGTAAAAGACAACCTCCAGGACAACATGAATTCTAATCAAATCTTGTAGCAGTAAACCACACAAAATGAGAACTCCACAAATGACCCTTGAGGAAGTCAACACGGTTTTGTAGTTCAATCTATGAGCAGGAAAAACAATAAAAAAAGAAGGCATTTCGGCTAATAGGTTCTTAGGAGCTCAAGATTGTATGCATGGTCATCTTGGTATGTGGACGAGTTAAATTAAGAGTCAACAAGATCTTCAGGCATAGTCCTTCTAAAGGTAGCATCAAGGTGGGCCATGAATATGTCAAACCCTGGTTCATCTGGTCTTCAGGTTAAGGCAGTAGGCTGGCTTCAGGCTTCATAAATCTCAGCTGTTTTAATGGGAAGGGAAAGGCAAGGGGAAAACAACTGTATCAGAATTTTGAGCATAGGGAGACCGGATAGCTTATTTTCATCAAACTATCAATTGTCAGAGGTGCGTTGGCGAATGTTCTAAATAGGTAAGTTATCATTTCTTCCGTATTTTTCTCTCTTTATTCCTGCCCCAAGGGAGAAAAGAATAGCGTACCTGTAGAAAATGATCACCAAATCTAGGAATAGTTTCTCCTCCGAGAAACACTGCCATGTCCAGAAACCCTAGAGAAAAAGAAAAACATCATAAACAAGATTGTTACCCTATTTTTGTTCTTATTTGGGTGGGGGTAACACCAACTACACATTAACGACTTAAAACCAATTCATAACTGTTAGAAAGATTTACAAGATTTTTGACAAAATATAGTAACAATACCCACATACCATCAAATTGCCCCAATAACTAATGGGTGCATTGATTGAACAAAGTCAATCTAAATCATCATTCCTGCTAAATAGAGATGAAGAAAAGAATTTACCCTGAACTACCACTTCTTCCCATAGAAAAACTTCCATAGGCCCCATAAGCACTACCACCGCCACCAATCTACAAAGGAAAAAGTTGGCATCAGTTGCAAATTAGATATCTGTTTGTCAGATCTTGACCAATAGTAGGCTAAATATCAAGGTGACAAATAAATTTTTTTTTTTTAATTTAGAAGCGCGGGAGGAATAGTTTCAAAACCGTAGCTGTATTTTAGCCTTCTCAAAGCAGAAGGATGTCTTTCCCCTCATCTCTAAATTAGATGTATTAAGTTGACATACATACCTGTGAGCCACTGTAACTTCCATAACCGTCACCAGCAGCCAAATCATTGAAACCCCCATAACCACTAGAATAAGAATGTCCACGCCCATGCCTTTTGCCATCCCTACCATCGTAACTTAGACTATCTGAACCATCAGCTGAGAGGGGAAGATACGGCAGAACAGGCAGCATAGCAGATAGAGCACCTTCTCTATCAAAAAGGTTGGCTCTCAGCCTAGTCACTACATGTACAAGAGCCTCTTTGGCAACATCAAGATCCCCGGATATCTAATTATTAAAACAACCAAATTAACCCAACACCATCACAAGCAATATTAAACACGAGAGGATTCATTATAACGGGAAACTGAATATAAATCAATTAACAGTGACTACCTGCACCATTTCATCATCTTCCAAGGCAACCTTAGGGAGGTTTTCTTTTGACAGTATTCGAATATTAGCTTTTGTGAGCCTCCTCAACTCAGTAATGATAGCTCCACCTTTACCGATTAGGCAACCAATTCGTGAAGTAGGCACAAGCAGGCGGGTTGTGAATGAAATGATTCCAGAATCTCTTTCCACTTTCTCACTGCATCTTGGTTGCAAGCGCAAAGCAGCTTCTAGCGTGGGAGAATAAGAATCTTCAAAGAACTGAAGCAGTAAACAAATAAAACTGTCAGAACTATAATCCACAGTAAACAGAAGACATAGAAATGATAGATTAGATTATACCTCCTTCGACGAAATATTTATCAAGCAATCATCTCCTTCAGTCGCTGAACTATCAACTTTTATGGCAGCCTTAGTCTCCTGTCTAATCTGATTGATTATGGCTCCACCTTTGCCAATGACACCTCCAATATTTTCAGTTGGACATATCAGTCGAAGAGAAAATTCTTTTGAAGATGACAATTCTTCCCTTGGAGCTGAATATAAAGACCTGGACCAATTACCACTGTCACCTTTATATCCTCCATATGGACCAACCAATGGGGCTAATCCCATAATTGGACCACCATGTGTAGGAGTCACAAGTGAACCACCAGAAGAGTAGACATTAGGCATGGCAGAAGCAAGTAGATGCTGAGACCGTGATGGATTGTCATGCAGTCGAGATGCAATCCGGTACAAGGCCTTCCTCACAATCAGGGCTTCCCCAGATATCTGAAACCCATAACTAATTAAAATGCTATTCAAGGAAACAAAAGCATGCATTTAAGATAGTTCAATAAAAAAGAATTAGCAAAAAGGAGCAAAAGATTTGGTAAAATCCATCTACTTACCTGCACAAGTTCATCAGAACTCAAAGCACAACGTGGTAAGTGATCGTCCTTAAGAATGCGAATCTGTGCTCCAGTCTCCGTGCGAATATTCTGGACAATCTGCCCACCTTTCCCAATAATACAACCAATTTGATCAGATGGTACAAGAAGTCTAGCTGTAACCTGGTGACCTCCTCCGTCAGATTCCTCGTCATTTAGATCATCAGCCACAACTCTATCGTGGATTTTGAACAAAGCCTCCTGAGCTGGACAAACATAATCGTCACTTTCTTCCAAAGAATTTATCTCATTGCTTGCGCTGTAGATGGTTATGACTCGCTCATCAGATCCAGGCACTGTTTCTCCAATTCTAATCTTTGATTTAGTATCTATTCTTAACTGCTTCACTATCTCCCCTCCCCTTCCAATAACACTTCCAATCTTCTTCACAGGGCACAAATACCTGTAAACAGTATCTTCTGGATCTATGACAAATTGATCTCTGTCTTCGCCATGAGTTCTTCGTTTGTTCCCCCCGTTTTCAGCATAATCAGACTGAGAATGGTTTCGTTTTCCATAACTATTCCTCTGACCAGCCATGGACTAAAAACTGATTATATCTGTCTCGGACATGGATGTTTAAGAAAAAAAAAGGTATGAAGCCATTGGTAAACAGAAGAATTAAGGATAACAGAGAATCCAAACAGCCATATAAAATCCTAGCTATACCAAGACCTGGACATATACGCTACAATATCATACGTGCATCTGACACAACATAAGAAAGTGGTCCAATATCAGTAATACACATCTAAGAAAGCAGCAAGTTCGGTCAGGCCAAGAATATGGAAAGACGCCAGATGAACAAATAGAAAGACCGCCCCAACTTCATATAATTAGTTTTATACTGAAAACCCGTATGAAACGTTAACTCCCGACTCTACAACAGCATGCCTGATTCAACGAAACTCCAGAGAATAGGAAACAGACATTCGAATAATTATGTGGGATTGTAGCCACAATCATTAAAAAATTCGTTTTTTATTCTCGCAGGAGTTACAACTTTAAGCATTTTTTTAGAAGTCAAGAAGAAGCTTTTATCCAAACCAGTGCGCTTGCCAAATTGGTGATTCGAACGGAAAGGGGAAAAACGAGGAACGCAAAAAGAAAAACTACCCTACTGCAACAAAGCTATAAGAAAAGGAATTTAGATCTCAACTCGTCAGCCCTATCAGTCGCACCTAATAAACACAGCGTGACAATAGATACAACCACATCGCAGAAGGATCGCAGATTTGAGCAACAACAGATAAAGTAATCGGTACCTAAAACAGAGAAATAAAAGTGATACGAGGAAGATGAAGAAGGTAGAGATAATGAAGCAACCTGTAAATCGACAGAAAAAAATCAGGAGGAAGAAGGAGTCTCCAAGAACGACTGGCGTTATCGAGAGTTTTAGGAAACGTTCGTTGATTCCCGAGCCTTTGTGTGCCGGAGTCTAGGGTTTTGACCCTCGGGACTGGCCAAATAATTTTACTTTCGCCAAATTACACTTTCTGCCACAAAATATTTCAAATTCAGATTATTACATATCTTTTTTCTCTTTTTAAATAAAGATTTTCACATATCTACAATAATATCCCGACCTATTTTCTTTTTGGTTAAATTAGAAGTTTTAAATAAGGTATTTTGGATTTAGTTTATTTTAATCCAATATTTTAAAAGGATTTTTTTTTATAACATATTTTAAAAGGTTTATTTCACTGCTTGTATTTTTATTTATTTTAGTCTTTATATTTTTCTTATTTTTTTTTAAATGACTACTTTTTTTTTTGTTTTCCAGAAATGATTGAAGTATAACTATAAAATTGTATTAAAGGTTTCGTTAGTTTTACTTTTGTTGAACTTTAAATATTTTTTCTAATTATTTATTCAGTTATTAAACATCCTTACAAATGGAAGATTCATGATCATATTAGACACCAGATTAAGTTCATTACCAGACACAACTCTAGAATCTAAATTTGTGATGAAATAAATAAAAAAATGTCAATGTTGAAAATGTCGAGATCTGTTGAAAATGTCGATAAAAAATATTGAAAAAACATAAAAATAAAAAATTCATAAAAAATATTAAAACTAACAAATAACCACGACAGTCATCGTAAAGTTTATTATTAATCATAGTATGTCTATATTATTGATATTTTTTTAATCTGATCAATTTTTGTACTATATATAATCAAAATATCTATGTCGGAAATCTTTCTTGTGATCGATTGAAATTTAATAACTTTGCTGAACCTTTAATTTTTTTAGTTGAAAAAAAAAATTAAGTCAGCTACCACAAATGGAGAAAATGTACTAAAATTTTATTTAAATAACCATCCATTTGGTCTCATAAATTCTTAAAAAAAACATTTTAATTAATTTGATTGTTTAAATAGTCAACTTTGCACATTTTTTCAAAATTTTAAATTAGTAAGTCGGGCCGAAGCCCAATGTTAGTTTTAGGAGTAACTCCTTTTTCGGGGAAAAACAACCCAGAATATATTTAGTAAAAATGAAATTTCAACAGCTAAAATATAATTATAAAGTCCATCATTTGGGATTATGATTTTTTTTTCTTTTCTTTTTTTTTAGAAAATTTCTGGCTAATAGAGAAAGTCACAAGTAAAAAAGAGGATTCGATATTTCTAAAATCATAGCTTCCTACACACAATGGTCTTTGTCAGCTAACTTTTAAATGCAGTTTAAGATTTGTTTAGTAACGTTCTTATTTTTTGTTTCTGTTTCTTTATTTTTAATGAAGAAAATATGTATTTTGCATGATTCCAACCTCGAAGAATTCAAGTATAATAAAACAATATGTTTATTTATATTTTAGAATAAATTAGAAATGGGAACAAGAAAGGAGAAACATGTTTTGGTTTTTTTCATAACTTCTATACCATTGTGAGAATGTTAAAAAAAAAGAGAAATAAGAGACAAAGGTAATTGTAAAATGCTTAAATTTTTTAAGAAAATCGAAAGCGAGAAACTAGAAACGATAATGTTACCAAACGGGCCCTTAGTTTCTTGCTTCTGTATCTTCCACAACAAAATCAACATGGTTTCCTCGATCCTTTCTTTATGATAAAATATATACTTTTTGAAATACTAAAAATATATTTACTATAGTTATGTGATAATTTTTCTATTCCAAATTATTAGGATAGAGAATATTTCAATTCGAATAAAGTACACATCAATGCCTATAACTCATTTTTCTGTATAACTATTGCAATTTTTTAGAGCAAAGGATACAAATACAATAGGACAATTTTGAATAAAAGATACAAATGACAGAAAACCATCTTTCTTCAAAATTAAATAAAATACTATTTTTCTCAAAGGAAAATGTCTCCCCTAACTTTAGTCTCGTTTTTCTAATGAGCTATTATTTTTAATCAATTAGGTGATTCATCTTTATGATAATTGGTGTTATTGCGACTTGAAAGTTCGTTTTCCCATTTTTGTATTAAGCATATAGGTCGAAACTTTATTGCAATTTTCTATTATTTCACATAAGATACGATTCAAAACGTATTCATTATCTATATATGATGTATAATATTTAAAATAACAAATACTATCTGAATTATAGAATTCTCTCATTAAATTTCTATGAATGTTAGGAAAAGCCACATGAGCTAAGCCGTTTCGGTCAAACCATTCAAGCTGGACCATCCATCCCGATCCGAGCCGACTCAAATCTAGTTGAGTTAATCCATTCAAACTAACTCAAGGTGACTTCCTCTATAAATAAGAGGAGAAACGTGGGACACGAAGTACCTCTAACAATTTCACTTTGATATACATTCTTCAACAGAAACCACGTCGATGTGCAGTGGAACATAGATTGTAAATGACAAGGTATTAATTTATTAATATATTTAAGACTAAATATATTTTTTTAATTCTTAATATTTAGGTGTTTTTTTTCAAATATTTTCTTGTTGTTTAAAAAAAAAAAAATTACTTGTGAATTTAGTTGTTAAAATTGGCATGATAAACTTACATAATATTACTGACAAAAGTTTAGAAGAGAAAACATGTTATTTGAGATGAAAAAAAATAGTTTCTTTCCATTTTCTTTGAAATTTAGGGTTGAAAATTAGAAATTTCCTTAAAATCTAGATGACCTTTTTCTTCATCTAAATATTATCTTATAGTTCTTACTCGAGGCGTGTCTATCTAAATTTTTCATCAGTGAATTTAAACATTTAATTTATCAATAGTAAAGTGCTAAATTTAAAATATTAAAATATAAGAAGCTAAATTGAAGCTTTGTATATAATATATTAAATTGGAAAATACACCTGGTACAAAAACATATATTTAACCCAAAGTGAACTAAAACATTAATTTACCAAGCTAAATTTAAAATATTGAAATATAAGAAGTTAAATTGAAGCTTTTTACCTAACATACTAAATTGAAAAACACCTAAAGGACAAAAGCGTATATTTAATCCAAATTTAAAATTGCAAGATTATTTTAAAGAAGTTAAAAAAATGAGACACTCAACCAACAAAATCTCCACAATATTCCAAGAATCATGACAAATAATTGCTGTTTTCATCATATTGTTAATAAATTTATTTCCTTTTATTTTTTTAATGTCCCCTTACCTTAGCTATTCTTGAAGTGTTTAAAAAAGTATTAAATTGAATTTTGGAAGGGTGTTTGAGACAGTACAAGCTAGCTGAAAAGACTATGAAAGAAACAAAAAAGTACCAAAAAAACACAGCTAAGTTCCCATTAAATTTGGAGGATTATTACATGGTTTCTCAACTACCCATATTGATTATTATTTGTACATCAATTTTTTTAAGACATGTGTCTAAGCTTTATATTTTATGTATTTAAAGTCGTGCTAATTTTTGTCTTTAAATACAAAATATATATATTATAATGTAATTAAAGACAAAAATGTTCTTAATCTCAAACTCATTTGCAGCGACTCCTTCCTGAAAGTCATGAAGAAAATTCAGAGATTATATCATGGGCATCATAAATGAAAGAGACATTTAAATGGGTATTTTTTTTTATTTTCTAAAATAACTACAAATATGTATTTTATTAAAAGAACCAATCAGTTATTTATTGATTGACTTTTGTGATGATAGTCGAACGTATTTTTATTTTCTATAATAATTATTGATTTACATAATTCAAAACTACTTATATGTCAATTCGAGATAATACTCTTTATTTTATTTTTTCCTTTATCTAATGTTGTTATTTTACTATATCTAATTTCTACCGCAACATATTTTTAACTTAAAAAAAAAAACTCAATTATATGAGATGCTAAACCAAACCAATTTTTAATTTAGTAAAATAAGTGGGAGAATATTTGAACTCATGACCTATTCGTCAAATATATATGTCAAAATATTACTTTTTTTTAATACAAATGTCAATTACCGCTGAATTTGGTGACCGCAATATTACTACTTAATACTTCTTTATAAATTTTTTTTATATCTTTTTATCTCTATTATGTATCATCTTATTATTATTACTTAAGCCACGATGGGAGACGTAGTATATTTTTTGACTTTATTTATTAAGTTAAAATTTCATTTCAACTTTTGTTGCCATTTCACCAACAAAACTATTTAATCATCTAAAAGATCAATTTTTCATTTTTATCCCTCCGTAACTAACAATTTAGTCTGCTTGAACTTTAGTTTATTACAATCTAATCTTCGTTCTCTAAACTTTATAGGTAACAATTAGTTCTTCTAACTATTTTAAAATTTGCAACGATTTAGTCTCTATCATGAAAAGTCTCATCAAAGTTATATATAGATTTTTATTACGTAACAATTTAGGCTATGTAGAATGTAAACATATGGTCTCTCATTATTTTATCGATCTATATAGAAAATCTCCGATAAATCTTAACATAATATTTTGTGTGACAATAATTAAATATATCATTACAAAAATTACAAAATTTAAACTACAGAATCTAAATTCTTACATACTAAGCACTAGAGACAAAAATTTAAGAAACTAAATGGTTACAAATAAAAGTTGAGCACCGACACCTTGTTTTATAATTATAACATAAATTAAATTAAGGGAACAAAAAGTACGTGTTTGGACAACATTAAAAAGCTGAGACACACCGTTGGCGCTGTGGAGAGGCTGCCTCAGCTGGTCCTGCTCGTGCAAACATGTCCATTCCTTCTGGACTTGTTTGTCTTTTCACCCCAATTTCAATTTCTCTTCAAATAATATATTGGTTGAGTTATATATCATTAAATATATTAATTAAACTTTCAAAAATCCTGGTAAAAAGTAAATGGACGAATATAAAAAGTAGGTTATGTTACTATTTTTGTCTCTTCATTTTTTTTTATTTTAAAATTTTGTTTCGATATTTTTAGAAAGAAGTTTGAATTTCATCTTTGTATTTAATTAAATCTCTCAAAATGTCTTGGATCTATCAAATATTGACTAATTT